GACAAGCTCGAGCAACAACCATGATGGGCGCCAATGTTGTTCTCGACCGAAAGCCTTCGAACACCAGTTGCCGCACGAGCGAAATTAGGCACGAAAGAAGACACAAGTGAACTAAAATGAGTCGCTTTATTTCCACCTGTTCCTCTCCCTTTATATTCCCTAAGTGAGGGCTACTTTATACACGTCCATAGGCTTTCCATGGGATGGAAATGCTCCTACAACTACTCTTTATTCGGGGAATATTCCTCGTCGCCTAGGGTTTGTCCGCCATTTGGAGCTCCCGCCTGCCCTGGTTAACGCTGGATTGAATTGACCCGACCGGCTCCATTGTGATGTCGCCCCCTTGCCCAACAGAGCAGGCCCCGGTCGTTAGTAAATGCCGGTCTTCCTCTGGCGGTTAGCTCCTCCACCGGCGAAACCTGTAATGACGCTAATAACTTCATTGTTAACAACTATTCGCCAAAGCGAATAGCTTGGCTCGGCTGAGCCCTCTCCCTGAACCAACACCACTTATCTCGCCGTGGCGAATAGGCGCATAGAAACCAGATAACGCGAGCCATGGACATCTCGCCAAGGTGATGAATGGGCCACCGGCGACGCCGGTTCCGTCCGAGTTGGGCCAGAACTCAGTTTTTTCCATTTCGCTGGAGCGACATGGAAACCTCCATATGCTCTCTCTTATCTTCATTTCGCCCATGCCAGACCTCTGGATGGCGGCTGAGGCGCACTGTGGTGCCCAGCGGTGGGGCCTGCCCCCAACAGCTGCTTCGGGAGAAGGCATAGAACCAGAACCGATGAAAGTCGTCTTCCTCCTCGAGTCTTCTACCCGAACCTGTCCCTCTAGCTGTTCTTGCTTCCCCTCTCTGATCCTTGCTATTCCCAGTCTAAACTCCCTCTGATTCTCCAGATATTGTATCAAGTTACCCTGGTAACAGTGATTGGTAGTCAAGATTCGTGACACCATGTAGGTCGTTGCCCTTTCCAATGCCATTGCTATTGGCAGCTACCATCACCTCTGCCCTGACGCTATACATGAGCTATCCTCCAACGCCTTTTGGTCCATGAACCACACGAGCACCGTCTTGCCGATGCGGCATTCTCTAGATAACTACACTTTAGACAACTTTCGAATATTAGACAAAAGCACCCAATTACTAAGGAGGTTGCCTAAAAAAGACAGGTCATGACTTAGGTCTTGTTTGGATCATTAGTTATTAATAGGTAGCTAGTTATAATAGCACATAACTAATATTAGCTGGTTTGGCCTAACTAGTGAAGTAGTTATTAAATAGATATTAGCTAACATTTAGCTAGACCAATTTAAATCAAATGAGCTAATTAGTAGCAGCTAACTATTAGCTCTATGAGTTCGAATAAGGTGCATTTTGTGAAGGGCTAATAAAAGGCTAGAAATTTGAGAACCTAAGTAGAAGCAGCTAACCGCTCTTTTTTTAGTTCGAGTAGGAAATCTGGACTCCAACAATAATCGAGAGAGGTACAAACGTCACCTTTTCCTTATAAAAATGATTTAGACAATTGAATCTGGTTGGCCCGAACCTTTCTGGGTTGGTCATCTCTGTCAAAGTGTCAAGCATAAAGTCCTAAACAGACACGGGCCCGACTTATTCCCGGTTCGTTTAGCTATGACTCGTCATAAATAATCGTAAATTTCTAATTAGAACAGTATTTTTTTCTCATATAAACCAACCAACCAACAAACGATACATCAACCAGCCAACCGGCTGTTAACCGTCGGGCTCAGGCTGGACCGGCCCACGTTTGCTCAGGTCCACTCGGAACAGATACCAGCAAACGACATCTCTTCCCGTCCCTCCCCGTCCCTTTCACCCCTCGCCGCCGTCGTCGCCGCCGCGCTCGTATCTGCGGCTTCCCGCGCCGTATCCTGCGGAAGAAGTGTTTAACGGGCTACATCCCACCACTGCACGATGTCGGCAGCGGCGCGGGTGCTGCCGAAGGCGGTGACCTTCGTGACGGGCAACGCCAAGAAGCTGGAGGAGGTCCGCGCCATCCTCGGCTCTTCCATCCCCTTCCAGTCGCTGAAGCTCGACCGTGAGTACCTCCTCTCTCTCTTCCCCAATCCATCTTTGCCGCCCCGCATCTGCAGCCTTACACGAGTAGCAGCCTAGCAGAGAGGGTTTTAGCGCTAGCGGTTCAAGTGCGCGCCAGCATGACTCGGTGGCTGAAGGGGGTGGCGTCGCTGAGTTGTGGCCTTGGGGCTTGTGGTTATCTGCCAATTGAGGAATTGAGAATTGAGAATTTGAGATACACTGATACATTAACGCAGGAGCTCCCGGGTCTTGTTATATCTGATCAGCTGATATCGCTGATGGTACCGAATTCTTTGGATTTTTTGTAACCGGAGATTCAGGGCAGATAACACCACGTTCCCTTTTCTCTGACCAGTCAATTCTTCAGGGTGTCAGTAATTTGATAGCAAAGCTTCGCTGAAGTTTCTTAAGGACTTGCTGTGTGATATAATCAGGAAATTCATGCAACAGTTAGGTAGGAAACATTGAAAAAATACAGATATATAAGGCCAGGTGGACTGCATCAGGCGTTCCGGGTTAAATAGACTTGTAGCCAAAGTGTTGTTTAGTTACTGATGACCAGAATTCTACACGCAGCCTTGTGATTCTTTTCTTTTGCTGTTCTGAGATTAATACTGACTAAGAATTTGTTAATAGTTGGGGTTATCAGTGGTGGACACAGATACAAGAATCATATGTAGTTTGGTGCATCGAAATGGAAGTCTGGGCTACCCACATTTGAAATCAGATTCTGACATCCTACACTGAGAATTGATATTGCATCTCCAGTGTACTGCCAAATGCCCCAGAATAGCCAAACATCATATCAAATGTTAAAACAATATTTTTTTAAAAAATTCTGATGGAACTCATACAAGTTCACCACGACCACTACATCTAAAGCTTTTGATGATATTCTTTACTTTCTCCATTCCAAAGAGTTCACTTTGGCTCTGTCCTAAATCAAACTTTACTAACTTTGATCAAGTTTTAGAAAATATATTAACATTTACAAATTTTCAAATAAATGCACCATCAAAATGTATTTCATGTAGAATTTAATGAAAACTAGATATAGTGTATGATGCTTTTTTTCTATAAACTCAGTCAAAATTAAAGAAGTTTGATTTAGGACAAACCCAAAGTGAACTATAATTTGGAATGGAGGGACTGCTTCATATTACTTCATGTATTGCTATTATTTTCTTTCTTAATACAAAACATAAATCTTTGTACACCTTGTCTGTTAAATTTGTATTTGGCAGTGCCAGAACTGCAAGGGGAGCCAGAGGACATATCCAAAGAGAAAGCACGAATGGCTGCATCTCAGGTACTTCCATGTTTCTGACCGCTCGCATATTGGGATATACATCCAATGAAATAACTTTCAGGTCTGGTTGAAATCTGCCATCTTGTTCTTCATATAGGTGAATGGGCCTGTACTGGTGGAGGACACCTGCCTATGTTTTAATGCACTCAAAGGCCTACCAGGTGATTTATTTGCATTGTTCTTCCCGTTGAGTTCTTGTAAATTGATTATGCAGAATTTGACATGCGCATCTTTCTGCTGCAGGACCCTACATGTAAATCCTTTTATTGCTCAAGCATTCTAACTATATAATCTTATCCCTAAGTCACGCTTAATAAACATCCTTGGCCAGCATAACTCATTGACAGACTGTATCTTAATCTTTGGAGCCTTCAATGCCATTACTAATGTATCTGCTCTTTGTTTGGATATCTTGCATACATGAATGAACAGAAAGTGGTTTCTTGAGAAGATTGGGCATGAAGGTTATAGAGCCAACTGATTCTCATCTCTTGTGTTCCTGGTTCTTTTATGTTTTGACTAAATAACCTTGTGCACCAATTTTTTATAGGTTTGAACAATCTGTTAAAAGCTTACGAAGATAAATCAGCATTTGCTATGTGCATCTTTTCTCTTGCTCTTGGACCTGGAGAGGAACCAATCACATTTGTTGGAAAAACTGCGGTAAGATGTCATTTTTTCTTTGTGGAGTATATTTAGTAACTTCCTTTCGTTTTAGTAGCAAACCACAGTGGAACTATAATGTAGTAACATGTATACAAATTTTCTATTGGGAGCATAAAGAGAAAAATAATGAACCATTAGCTCTATCGGATTGTTAGTTAGCCTTGTTCTAACAGCATGATTGCCTTGTTTCACCCAGATAATTTGATTGTATCATAGCACTTTGATGAATGCTGCAGCATATCTATTTTGGAATGTCATGTTTTGAGACTGGCTCTCTTTGTGCAGGGAAAGATCGTACCTGCTAGAGGTCCTAATGATTTTGGATGGGATCCTGTATTCCAGCCAGATGGTTTTGAACAAACGTGAGTACAGTATTTTCCTGACAGTTCACACTCCTGCATCCTTCTTCACACTGATTGCATAACATGTAATGCAGATATGCTGAGATGCCCAAGTCAGTGAAGAATGAAATATCTCACAGAGGGAAAGCTCTTGCTCTGGTGAAAGAACACTTTGCATCTGCTAGCTATACAGTTCAGAGCAATGACTCAGCTTAAGTTCGACTTTGGTTCCTAGACGAATGAACATCACATTCTGGAATGTAAACTGAACTAGTTTTAGTGGATACTGTGGTTTACTGTTAAGTTTATTCATAGATGTACTGTAGTTTGTTTGATTGTCATATACTTGGTGCCTATCAACTTACGATATTTCTTCACTGGATCAACATTAGAATCTGAAGGAATACAGCTTCTGCCCTCGATTATGCATTGCAAAAGAACCAAATTCACAAACTGGATAAACAAATTATCTTAGCAACCTTCAGTACCAACGCCGATAAGCCAAATGCACACCCAGATTTTCACGAGAGACTACACACTATCTTCTGCACTTCAGCAGCTGCAGAAGACATCAAATGAATCGTTGCAACTCGAAGCCTAAAAACCTACCACTCTCTAGGGCCTCCTGAGCTTAACGTGGAGAGGCATCTCCTTGTAGGTGGTGACTCGTTCCTTGGCCTGCCGCAGCGGCCTTCCAAGAGATGATCTGCGCAAGAACTGGTGCCCAGGCTTGTCACTGCCAGAAGCACTCTCTGGATCGATCTTGCAGCTGCTGATGGCGAGCTGGACGTCCTCTATCTCGAACAAGTCCTCCGTGCGGTTGCCTGGCTGAGGTATTCTCATGGACTTTCTGCAGAGGGAAGGCCAATGATCTTAGCAAAACTCAACTGTCAAACAGAACTCAACTGTCAAAACTTCAGCAAGGGTTTTGAACTAGTGTTGTTTTACCGTCTCTGACAGGCATCCTTATCCTTATCCTTCGGAAGCGCCACTTTCGCCGATGTCGTAGGTCCTAGAGCTGAAAAACATTGGGCATTCGGTCAGGCATTCAGACGTCGATACCAGGTCATGCGGGATACGATAATCGGGTAACTGAGGATTGGGGATTATTACATCGAGATCTCAGCACCCGTTTCCTGCTGGCGTTCCCGGACCTCTGGATGCTCCTCGCACGCGATGCGTCCGAATCGGGCTCTGCATCGACCACATCTCCATCCTTGGTCTGCGCAGCTCTGTCAGGACCCAGATGCTGCGTCCTTTGCACAGGTGCGTTACGTCGCTGCATCGTCTTCTTCACATCCTGTAGCAAGAACACAATAGTCCGCATTGCACACCGTTGTTCATCAAAATGAAAAATGACCTGACATGGAAATGAACTGATTATAGGGAGAAAAAAATAGTGTCCTGGATCCGGCGTACCTCCAGTTCAGATGTTTTCACTTTAAGGCTGGCTCTTGAGCACGCAAGCTCATGTTGCAACGCTTTCAACTTCAGTCAGAAAAGAAATCAAGGCTCAGATTCTTGCTGAACATGCTATGAAGAAATCTACCGTGTCTGACGATGTCAAACTGTACTTACCCTGTTTCTTGCTAGGTTAACCTCCTGCAAAATTAATAAACAAAACGATGAGCGACTAAATATGCCCATGGCAGAGATGCTTAGCTGCAAAGACTTCAACCAAGAACTGAACATTCTAAGCTTTCTTGCCGATAATTGGAGGACGAAGCAGAGGAACATACCGCCATCATCTGGGAATTGGTCCGCGCAAGTTCCCAGTTGGCAACGCGCAGCTTCTGAATCTCGGCCCCGCTCAACTGTATGATCTCGCTGCACAGACACCCAAACCAAAACCCAATGGAGTCAGACCAAAAGGGGACACCCCAAGATCACTACTGCCCAAGAACCATGACCGGTAGAAGAATTCGGCGGAGCAGAGCGCGCAGAGACTTACTCTCTCTCCGCGAGGTGCCTCACGAGTTCCTCGTTCTTCTGTTCCGGTAGAAGAGAAGAAAAAAAAGAAGAAGAGCGACGTTAGTCATACACGCCAAGACAACAATCAGGAAGAAGACGGGATTATGGAAGGGCGATCTTACCTTGACTAGCTGCGCAAATTCCTCAACACCGCCCGCGCTCGCCGGTGCCGGCGCTGCCGGGCAAGCCGATTCGTCCGGCACCACCGGCAAGTCGGCCGGGTCGCGCTTGCTCAGGTTGGTGATGTCGCAGAGCGTCTTCCTCCTCGTGGCCCTGCGCTTGGGGGTCGACGCCGCGTCCGACGCCAGCGTCTTCTTGGACAGCGCGGCCGCTGGGGGCGAGACGGCCTGTTGGGGCGCGAGGACGGGCGCCTCCACCTCCATGGACTGTCCGTCAGTCATGGCGATGGGGGGGAGAAAGTCGAGAGAGAGAGAGAGAGAGAGAGAGAGAGAGAGAGGCACGGGATGGAGATCCAGAGATATAGGGGAACCTTTGGTGGAGGACGGTTTTGCGGGGGTTGAAGACGGAAGAGGGGCGGCGCAACGGCTAGTTGGAAGGCTGCGCCCTGTTTGAGGCAGGCTCATGAAAGGGGAGCGGCGCAACGTTCAAACTGGAGTGTGGGTGCGGAGATCGGACATTCGGATCGGGGTGAGTATACATATGGAAGGGACGGCCCGCTAAAGCCCGGCTCGAGCATGATACGGCCTATTAATAGTCGTTGTGCTGGTCCGGTCCACAATCTCGTGCCGTGCTCGGACCATAAGACCCGTCTACACTCACCCTCCGTCTCAAATTATAAGTTATTTCTAATTTTTTAAAGTCAAAGCATCTTAAGTTTAATTAAATTTATATAATAAAATAATAACATTTATGATATCAAATAAGTATCATTATATTCTTAATTAATTATATTTTCATAGTACACCCATTTAATGTCATAAATCTTTATAATTCTCTTTATAATTTTGGTTAAATTTGAGATGATTTTACTCTCCAAGAAAGTTGGAATCATTTATAATTTAATTAGGGCGGAAGGGGTATTAAGAAACCCTACCTCTTTCCTTTTCGTCTCCTCCAGCCGTCTCATCTATGACTGCCTCTCCTCTTTTCGCCTCTCCCTCCCTACCGCCCCTCCTCTCTCCGGCTCTCCCTCCGCGTCGCCACTCCTCTCTGCATCTCTCCCTCCTGCTTCGTCGAGCGGTCAACCCCCTGATGCCGATCCACCCCTAACGTTGATCCGCCCTTGGGCTCTCCCTCCCTAGTCCCCACTCCGTCGAGCGGCCGAGCCCTCATCCCTCAACCCCGAGGCTGCTCCCCACGCTCCCAGCTAGAAGCGATGGCGGCAACTAAGAGCAGCCGAGCCGCCTTCCCCTGGCCCTAAGGGTGGGCGGAAGCTAGGATGATCAACCAGCAGCGAGTCCCATCTTAATCTGTGGCTTTGTGAATGTGCTTGTGTTTGATCTGTGTAAAATTGACTGCATCTGTGAACTGTTGATTTTTTTCTGATTTTTTACTAAGTTCAATTGTTGTCCAGGCTGGAATGGGCTACCGGGCCGCCTAGCTTGCCTAGGCCTGACCCTGGGCATGACAGCCGACACAACTAGATAGACGCGCCTTTTTGTGCCCGTGTCGTGCCTAAACGTGTATGTGCCGTGTCGTGCGGACGACATATTGGACATGTACATGGTTGAGGCACGGAGCACGAGCACGACCAACGGATCAGGTTTTAGTGTATGTTTGGTTTGTGGGCGATGATTGCATCATATATTTTGGTTGAGCAAATACAAGTTGAGTGAAATCATATTTTATAAAAGAAGGTACTTGGTGATTCTGCAAGAGCAAATGAAAAAAAAAACTATACTATTTGGTTACTTGTATGATTGATGCAGTTTATCTAACCTGAGACTATGACAGGTGGGCTTGTTCTCCCGGGCCCGACGGATATGGTTGATCTGGCCGTATGCGGAGATGCTGCGCATGCGCGCATGTGGTTGCACCCATGGATCCAAGCATCACGGGAACCAATGCCCTCCTACACACCAGCATGCATCGGGGTGTCAGCGGAATCAAACACGCCCTTAATGTTTGGAATATTTTTGTAAGAGTAAATTCCACTATCGTCTCAGACGATCATCTTTGATAGGATCATCTTACGGTAATCCTATCAAATCTCCAATCTTCGTGTTTAGCTTAGGGCCTTATTTAGTTGGTGAAATTTTTTGGGAAATAGTATTGTAGCATTTTTATTGTTATTTGGTAATTAGTGTCCAATCATAGTCTAATTAATCTTAAAAGATTCGTCTCGTAAATTTTGTCTAAACTGTGTAATTAGTTTTATTTTTTATTTATATTTAATGCTTCATGCATGAGTCCAAAAATTTGATGTGACGAAAAATCTTAAAAAATTTTACAAAATTTTAGGAACTAAACGGCCACTAGAGTATCTAAACCTGTTTAGCCCTCCTACGCGCCTAGGGCCACCGGACCCTAGGTCTGCCACTAACTACCATGACTGTTACAAATCTAGCCATCAACTAGAGTTAATCCGTCACTAATCAGCTCAAGCGTCGAACCCAACCCATCCTGGGTCGGGCTGATCCGTGCGCGTCATGCCCATGCCAAGGCTCGGCCAAGCCTCCAAAGAAAAGCAACGAACATGCAGACTGTTTGTTTGTTTGGTACGTGAACATCGTAAATGATCAAATTTTTAATTAAAAATATTTTTCTCTACACAAACTAGCCTAATAAAGATTTTTTTTATAACCTGAAGAACGATATATGAACCAGGTCAACCAAACAAACGATGATTATCTTATCCCAAGCCATGGATGGATATCTCCTTTTTGTGTTGGTGCGGTGAATGAATCTACGGATTTTGTAGCTCACGCGCCGCCGATTCTTAGGTCCTCGGTGGATGCAAGGGAAAACGGGTTTTGGGTTTTTGGCAAGTAAAGATGACGTTGACGTGACCTACGGACATGCCGGCTTCTGTGAGTTGAAGAAGGATAAGCTGCAGCTGCAGTGGAATCCGTGCTTTCACGGAACGGCGGTCTCTTGCGGGCGTGGTAATCCTGATCTGGCAAGCATGCCATTACCAAGCGTACCTAACTACCAGGACGTGTGGTTGCACGCTAGTCATGTGCAGTTCGGCTGACTTTAAATCCGTCTTGTTTTTTACTTTTTCGAAATAGTATTTTTTTTTTATAATATTTTAGTCAAAATAGTATTTTTCAGCTAATTTCAGATAACCTACTGCTATAACGGGAGTACAGTAGTGTTTTCTTTTGCGAGAGATGTTCAGCAGACTGTCGGTCTGAACACAGGCACACAGGAGAGCTAACAGCAGCCAGCAGATTTCGCATACTGTCGCCCATCGCCATCGCGGGCACGGACGGCCGCGGGTGCCAGGAGCCGCGCGCATCGCCCCCACCGGCACCACCATCGCGGGCGGGCGCGCAAGCCTTCCGGATGCTGCGCTACTCGCTGTCGCGGATGACCGGAACTTGAGCCGTCGCGGGAGATGCGGGAGCGCCGTGGTGGGCGGCTGGGAGCCGCACTTGGGATGCATCGGCCTCCCGACGGACTGCACGGAGTTGCGGTCCCGCGCCAAGAAGCTCGCCGAGCTCCTGCAGCAGGCGACGCGGGCCGAGCTGAACGAGTGCCCCGCCACACACGTCAAAGCCGACACGGAGAGGGCGCTCCACGAGGCCGCGGGCATGGCCGCACGCTGCTTCCAGAGCCACCCCCGCCTCCGCCGCTTCTTCACGTCTTCGACACCGCGCTCGCCATCCGACGTCCAAAAACCTTTTCACGGAGTCCTCGCCATGCTGAGCCGCTGCTCAGAGCTGCACAGCACGCCGCGCCGCCGCAGAAGTCTCGTGCCACACTTACCACACTAGCCCTCCCGCACCGCGTGCAGCTCATGCGCAGCCCTCCCGCATGTCGCCGTCATCAGCCCCTTCCCGGAGAAGGCGGGATTCGAGTTGTCCCAGAGAAGATGGAGTCCCGCGCAGAGTCAGATCTCTCCGGCGTCGCGTCGTCCCGGAGGAGTGGGAGGAGATGGGGACAGGCATGCTACTCGCCGCCGTGGAGGAGATGGGCGCCACCATCTCAGGCGCAGTGCAAGACCTTGCCGGCAAGGGACCATGCTCTTCCGCATCGACATGCTCACCTCCGCGGTCTGCCGCCGCCAGCACGCATCCACGCACGTCCAGCAGGCTGAAATGGCCAAGTTTGGGAATTGTTTATGCTAGAAATCATTAGATGCGTTAGATGTTAAATGGACGCACCAGATGAACGAAAAGTTACGACGTAACTTTACAGAGCAAAGTTACTGAATCCGGCTCCGAGTTTGTCATGGTTAGAAACCTGACTTAAATCCCACCTGTTAAAAAAGAACATAAAACTCTAGCTTTATTTTCAGTTAAACATTCTAAAGTTTGTATAAACTTATATAAGAAAAAAGTATCAATATTTCTAACAAAAATAGGCATACTATGAAATATATTTCTTGATTATTCTAATAATATTTATTTCGTATCATAAATATTACTTTGTTAAACTCAAAATGGTTTTGACTCAATGCTATAGTAGAATTGCATTATTTTTCATATGGAGGGAGTAAGGTTTTGTTCCTAAAGAGTTCTTGTAAGTACTTGGTATCATAAATATTTGTAAAGTTTACAAATTCAATATTGATAAGCTATAAGTGTTTCTTTACGGAGGGAATAATCTGAACCTACCAGAGATCTTGCACCTCCAACTCCAGGATTATACCTTCCTTCGTTCCACTCAACAAGACATCAGAAATCGGAAACAACAATTATAACGCACTACGGAATGGAAAAGTAGAGAAACAAAGAAGAACTCAATTTTGCAATTATCTACCGTTTTACGTCTTTTATACAAGCAAGCAATCTCCCCAAGGTGATTCCAAATCACCTCCCTCTTTCTCTCTCTTCCCCCGGTTTCAGGTTTGTCCATCCCCTCCCGCTCCTCAGACCTCAGTCTGCTCATCAGACCCCATTTCACTCGCTCCCACAACCACTTGCCCCCACTGTCATTGGCGCCCCAGTCCCAAGCTCCAAATCTCAGGAGCTTCGTCCCGAGCCCTGAATCCATGCCCCCACTAGCCTCACTCCGCTGCCACTCCCCTGCATTGCTATAAATTCCACTGCATCTTGGCTCTGGCCCATCTAATCCGCCAAGGAACCATGGCCCGAGCTCCCAAATCCACCGGCATTGCCCTAACCCTCCTCCTACTGGCAGCCGCCGCCGCCGCCTCGGCCCTTCCTCTCCTCAACTCGTCGCTCCCTGACCCCGCTGCCGTCGTCGCCGACTTCCACAGGTACAGTTCACCCAAATTCAGTCTTTTTCAAGCCGTTGCTGCTGCAAAGTTGCAGCCTTTTCTTTTAAAAGGTGGGTTTCGCTGATGCTGAATGTGATGTTCTGTCGTCTATATCGGGCAGCAAGGTGGCGACGTCTCGGCGGCGTATGCAGGAGGCCGGGGCTGCCGGCGGCGGCGGGTGCATGACGGGCAACCCAATCGACTACTGCTGGCGGTGCGCGGGGACGGACTGGCGGCAGGACCGGCAGCGCCTGGCGGACTGCGGCATCGGGTTCGGCCGGAACGCGCTGGGCGGCAAGGGCGGTCCCGTGTACGTGGTGACGGACTCCTCCGACCGCGACCCCGTGAGCCCGGTCCCGGGCACGCTCCGCCACGCCGCCATCCAGGAAGGTCCCTTGTGGATCGTGTTCGCGTCGGACATGGCCATCCGCCTGAACGAGGAGCTGCTGGTGAACAGCTACAAGACCATCGACGGTCGCGGCGCCAACGTGCACATCGGCGGCGGCGGCGCGTGCATCACGCTGCAGTACGTGTCCAACGTGATCATTCACAACGTGCACGTCCACGACTGCGTCCCCGCGGGCAACGCCAACGTGCGTTTGTCGCCGACGCACTACGGGTGGCGCACGCGGTCGGACGGCGACGGCATCTCGCTGTTCGGGGCGCGGGACGTGTGGGTGGACCACTGCGCGCTGTGGCGGTGCGCCGACGGGCTGGTGGACGCCATCACGATCTCCAACAGCTACTTCGCGCACCACGACGAGGTGATGCTGCTGGGCGCCAGCGACGCGTACCTGCCGGACTCCGGGATGGAGGTCACCATCGCGTTCAACCGCTTCGGCCCCGGGCTGGTGCAGCGGATGCCCCGCTGCCGCCGGGGGTACTTCCACATCGTCAACAACGACTACACGTCGTGGGAGATGTACGCCATCGGCGGTAGCGCCAGCCCCACCATCAACAGCCAGGGAAACCGCTACATCGCGCCCGCCGACCCAAACGCCAAGGAGGTGAGCATGCCGTGCCCCTTCGGCCTCTCCCTCGGAGTTGCTGCTGCTGCTGCTGGCTTCTTTCCGTCGTGCCGTGCCGTGTGCTCGTGCTGCTCTGGCCGTTGCCCTTCTGGCCTGGGTTACGCGGCGCTGCTCTGTTCTTTGCTTGGGGGGCAGAGCACGGCACGGGCAGCAAACACGCACGTCTTTCCTCGCCTTGCCGTCTCCTGCCTGTGCCTTTCCGATGTCTTTTTTTTGGGCTTGGTTTTTACTATCTTTTATTTTGGACTGTGACCACTGTCCCTAGTCCGAAGTCCCAACCTTGTTTTGTTTGTGTTTTCCAACTCAAAGTCGAGTTGCCAAAAAAATCTAGGCATTTTTTCAGCATTTTGACCTGTTTGTTCGATCCGGATTGAAAGAGGCCGTTGTTGTTGCCTGGGGCTGGGGGGAATGTTTGGTGCATCTTCCTCATCCTCATCCTTTTTTTGACACAAACACCACCTCGCATCATGTTTTCCCCAATTGCCCAATCGGGGGTCCCGGCCAGTCTGCCAGTGTTCCCGTCCGTGCGCGCGGGCAGCAAGCGAGCATCATGTGAGAGAGTTGAAAGTTGATGAATGCGACGGTACGTGACGTGCAATGTCTCTCTCTCTCTCTCTGTGGCATGGCACTATGGCAGGTGACGAAGCGGGTGGACACGGCGGAGGGGCAGTGGGCGGGGTGGAACTGGCGGACGGAGGGCGACATGATGGTGAACGGCGCCTTCTTCGTGCCGTCCGGCGAGGGCCTGGAGGACATCTACGACAAGGCGTCCAGCACCGACCCAAAGCCGTCGGCGCTCGTCGACGTGCTCACGCAGAACGCCGGCGTCCTCGGCGATCCCAGGTACGGACGCCGGATCACGTTTTTCTCTCATACTAAACAAATAGCGATAAATAATCCCGCCTCCCGAGCAGCCGACGGACGCCGGATCACGTCACCGTCACCCCGTGAACTCTTCTTGTTCTTCGTGACTGCCGAGGGAGCTTTTTCTCTCCCTCTGACCCTCCTCTCCTTGCTGGAATCTCTCTATATATATACCACTGTTATACAACGAAGATATTACAGCAAACACATGGAACTAACTCAGATTCAGAATTCAAATTTAAAATTCACGAGTTACTATTCATAGCACTATTCAAATTCAACTTTCACTATTTAAATTCGCGGCACTATTCAAAATACTCGCTACTATTCAAATTCGGAATATGAACAGTGCACGAGTACTCATCCGGGAGTGGCTCAGGCACCCAAACTCTTCAATATTTAAGGCACTATTCAAGGCATAAGCTTTTGAATTTATAGTGGGTGGATAGTGGATGCAAAATGTGTGTGGGATCAGTATATGCGTGATTAGTGAATATGTCATGTCTTTGGATTATCATCTTCCAAGGATTAAATCTTACCAAAGAATTCCGTGAATAATAAGATCGAGACGATATGTCGATGCGACTATGTATGGTCTTAGGCCTCAATCATCAATCCACTGGTACCATACCAAAGTATGCAAGACTAGCTTGAGGACAAGCAGAAAAGGAATAGAGCAAGCTAACAATTATTAAAGCTAGCTCGCCCAAATTGCCCAAGCAACAGTAAAGAAGAATAATTGAAGACACCAGAAGATAAGCATGAAGGACAATCCAGAAGACTCCATTCGAGCTATAAAGAGAGACGCTGGGCGCATTCATGTGGCATTGGACCGAATACCACCAACACCATCACCAGGAATTCATCCGCTGAAGACTCCACTTTCCCACATACACCATGAATAGCATGACCTCAGAAGAACTCTGAGAATCATCCACCACAAATAGTAATAATTCACTACCGTTATATTACTCCACCACTACCTGTAAATTAGAATAAAGGAAGTCATCGTGATCTTCCTGCGCCTGTAAGGTAATCCCTAAGGTTTGTGCTAAGTGCTTGGGGTTTTCTAAAAGAAAAAGCCGTATGTAAGCTTATTCTGTGAAAATGAACTCAGATGTCCTGTTTTAATCACTGCCTTCCTTTAAGCTTGTTCATATGAGGCGATGTCTCTATGCTAGGGATCCTAGAGGAGAAACCTTTACGTGTGTTGTTCTCGTGTTAGCCCTAGTAGCGACGTTTGTAGAGAACCCTGTGTGCACAGAGAAGTGTTCCCTTCGTGTGGAACTGCCTGGGGAGACGATAGAGCCTGAGTCCTATGTGTGCGTGGCTAGGGATAGTGAGAAAGAAGACCGGGTTAGCCTGGTTCTAAAGTGAGCTAGTGATGCATACGGTGAGTACCGAGTAGGACTGACACAAGCATAGTCACACGATCGGCAGAAACGTTGGTCTCGCCAGCCTGCAAACGATCCTGAGAAGCATAATCCGCATACGCATATTCACTAATCATGCACATACTAATCACAAGCGCATCCTGCATCCACTATCCACCCACTATAAATTCAAAAGCTAGTGCCTTAAATAGTGAAAAGTTTGTGTGCATGAGCCACTCCTGGGTAAGTGCTCGCACACTATTCATATTCTGAATTTGAATAGTAGCGAGTATCTTGAATAGTGCCACAAATTTGAACAGTGAACGCTGAATTTGAATAGTGTTATGAATAGTAACTTCGTGAATTTTAAATTTGAATTCTGAATGCGAGTTTGTTTCCTAGTGTTTGCTGTAATATCTCCGTTGTATAACAGTGGTATCATATATACTAAAATGTAAATAGATTTCGAATCCGTTTGAGTTCTCAGTGAATATAGCCCTCTTGTGTACGGTGGTTTCAGAGCCTGGTTATTAGATTTTGAATTTGAGGGATTTACTTATATTGTCAAATTTAAAAAGATTGTCAATACAACCTCAGTTAAATACTTTAC